ACACACAAATGCAAACAAACACTGCACATAATACATAATATCTATATGGATATAGTTCATATATATACAGCGTAATACGTGTCTTTTTTATAACTTAATATTGAATAGATAGCGATCTATAAATGTGCTCCCAGTAACTGTATTTAATGATACAAACGTTTGTTTGCAGTGAAAAGAAAAAAAGTGAATTGTATATCATGTTTTAAGCCACAGATATTAAAAACAAAAAATAATGGTAAGATAATGTATTACATACAGTGTACGGTTCGAACGTATATATTTCATGAAGCCGATTATACGCTCCGATTGTTTTTACGTATCTTGGCTGAACTTTATATTGAACCCACAGCTTATATACCATTATATAATTCTCTCTCTCTTTGGCTGGCTCTCTCTCTCTCTCTCTCTCTCTCTCTCTCTCTCTCTCTCTCTCTCTCTCTCTCTCTCTCTCTCTCTCTCTCTCTCTTCTCTCTCCTCTCTCCTCTCTCCTCTCTCTCTCTCTCTCTCCTCTCTCTCTCTCTCTTCTCTCTCTTCTCTCTCTCTCTCCTCTCTCTCTCTCTCTTCTCTCTCTTCTCTCTCTCTCTCTTCTCTCTCTCTCTCTTCTCTCTCTCTCTCTCTCTCTCTCTCTCTCTCTCTCTTCTCTCTCTCTCTCTCTTCTCTCTCTCTCTCTCTCTCTCTTCTCTCTCTCTCTCTCTTCTCTCTCTCTCTCTCTTCTCTCTCTCTCTCTCTCCTTCCCCCCCTCTCTCTCTCCATACTTGTAAACATATTCATAGATAGATAGTGTGTGTCTGTATATGATCACTGATTAGATTGTTAACCAAGCGTTTTGGTCTTACACATTTGATAAACGAAGCAGCTGATGGCAATGACGTGTCACCGTGAAATCAGATAAAGGTGAAGAGGAAGACCCAAGGAACTGACAAGAGAAGTGTCAGATGTAAGCGAAGAGAAGGAAGGGGAAGGTAGGCTCTCTCGATCTAAATGGATGGAAAATGCTTGTAATTTTAACTAAGGAAACTGACAGTATAGAAATCGAACTAACGGAAATCTTTTATATTTTCTTTTGTGAAAAAAAAATTATATTAATAAAAGGGCAGAGCCATTCTTTCATTACGTATATTGAAGAAGCCTAATATTTATTACATTACATATACTAAATAGAAAGAAATGTATAATACTATACATACCACATAAAGTTAAGCACAACATCCAGGACTGTAGCGAAATCATACCCGACCTCGAGAAAAGCTTACAGTAGATGTAGAAATCCACAGAGTAATTCATTTCAGACATAATGCAGAGCGAAAGGATCAAGGACTTCCAGCCACGTATTAACACACTGGGAGGAGAAGCGTGCGAAGTGAGGGAAATTGATTAGCTTTGGGCACCGGATTTAACCAAAGAGGATAATCATTGGACACATAGGTGGTCGAGTGTGTCTGTATTTGGTGTTCTAAGAGCAGGGCAGAAAGTCGAGTGAAACGGGCAGCAAAGTTCTCCGTAAAGGAATCTGTGGTAATGTGTGTCTAAATGTAAAGTAATCTTAAGGATTGAATTTCTGAGGAAAGTGTGTGTGTGTGTATGTGTATCCTTCATATTGTATGAAAATATTTACATTAGTCTTTTTCACAGTATTATTATGCTGTAAAACGCTCCTGTACAAAGTCCCTTTTTTATTTGTTACCTATAGAGTTATCATAAAGCGTTCTCGTTGGAAATATACACCAAAGGTATATCTTTAGCATGCATACTCGATCCCTCCTAAATGTATTATTGAAGACACCATGTACAGGGTCATATCGTGAAAGTCTGAGGCCCATACATTTTTTTCTTCTTTTTTACTCTGTAGGTATGCCAGTTCTCTCCATTTCCAAGTCCATTTCTTTTTCCATAATTCCAATCCTTTCTGCATGGCCAATCTAGGGTAGTGATCTATTCGACCTCTCCCCTCCACAAACGCGTTTCTGTAGTGTTTGTTATTTTTTCTGGTTCACGCTGATCCAGGGTTTCGCTGTTTTCGGA